CCACCTTCTGTTGATTACAGCAGCTGTGTTTCATTTTGGGAAATGATCTCTCCCTGCATCATGTGCAGATTTAATTGGATTTATAATGTACTATTGCTCTTACCTGGCAATGGGAAGGCAGAATGATAAATTAGGTTAGTGTGTTCTACCTCTTAAGAATATATGAAGTGATAGACAGCAAAAGAGAAAAAAAGAAGAAGGAGGAGGAGGAGGAGAAGGAGAAAGAGAAGAGGAGGAAGGATGAAGGGAGGCAGATGCTCCTGTGTCCCAGCATGAGCATCCTGGCTAGGCTCTGTGGGAGTTCTTGCTCCCAGGGTCCCCAGTGCCTCTCTGGTCCCTGTTCTTTCCTGGCCTGGGTCTCCAGGACTTCTCTCAGTTCTGTGAGCCACCCGAATCTTTCCAGTGGGTTTCTTCCAGACTTAAGTTAGCCAGAGTCTACTGGCTTATCCCAACATCTAGTCTTCTAATCCAACACCTTTGTTTTGTGTAAGAAGTGATAGAGACCCACAGGCCGTACATTATTGGCCTCAGGACACCAGGTTTGCAAGTGGCGGCATTGGCCTGGAATCTGGATGTCTTGATTTCAGGGATGAGCCACAAGCATTGGCTTATCTTTATCAAATAGTTCCTTGGTTTTCTATTTGACCTCACTGTGATTTTCTGGATTCTTTCGGAAGTTAGGCCATTAGGAATAAGAAGCACCTCTTTCGGGGGGCAGTGTATATAGCTCAGTGGTAGAGCGCATGCTGGGCATGGGCAGGGTCCTGGGTTCAGTTCAGTCCCCAGCGACTCCATTAAAAAAAAAAAAAAAGAAGTACCTCTTTCTCTGCTAACTTCACATTTGGAAATACAATTTCTGTCAGTTCTCAAAATATTTCACAGGCCAGGAGGCCTTGCGACCTGCCATCCTGCCTTTGGCAAGTGCCTATTTTAGATATTTCTAAAGAAGATGAACCTTCTCCTCCACTGGGGCTCCTGGCTCAATATGCCAGACCTACGGGCAGAAGACACTTTCCGCCCACAGCCAGTGGTTGTCCCGAAGCCTCACAGTGTAGCTATCGATTGAGGATGGTCAAGTTGAAGAGGCGGGTCAGCCATGCTATTTTAATCTTGACTTTCCCCACCAAAGACAGCCCTGCGCACATTATGTAGAAATATTCGTGCTGGTTAAACTTCATCCCTGGAGGTGGAGTCTGAGGTGCTTAAAGTCTGTTGGTTGAGGAGGAATTAAAAGACACAGGAAGCAGAGGTTTGGTGAAGTGCTTGAAAATAATTGGTTCCTCCTAATCATGGTCGTCTCCTCCTTCTATGTCCATATCATTCAAGATGCTGTGTTAATAATGGCTCTGTCTATTTTAACCCATTCTTTATCATTTCACACACTTACTTGCATTCATTCCGTAGTTTAATATTACACTTACATTACATACTATTAAATGATCCCACTGCTCTGGAATGTAGATTCCTGTGAGGTGCAAGGGTGCTTCTAGAGAGGTGATTAACACATCCAAGGTGTGTGTGCCCCGTAAGTAGCAATATGAGACCAGAAACCTGGTATCCTGGCCATGTGCCCCTGATGCCCCTATTTTTACACTTAATTGTTATCATCATGCAGCAGTGTCTTTGGGGAGGAGTAAAGGGATGAGTGCAGAAGATACGAGAGAAGATACAGTGAGAGTTTTCTGGTTGTACATGAGATCACTCGCCATTGTTCCTCTGCCACTCACTAGAGCTGAGCAATTTGTTAGCCAATTTATTCATCAAAACTTCTATTACTTTCTTACTGTGTACCTCCAATTCCAAGAGAAATAAAACACAGCATTAGCCCTTAAAGAGCTAGCTGTCCAGTGGATTAGTTCTAAGGCTAAGATCAAGAGAAAGGGAACTAGCATTTTGGGAACAGCCAGCATATGCTCATTGTGAATCATTTTGGATAATGTCCCTTATAGTTCTTTAAGTGAATTATTTTTCCATCATAGATTCACAGTATTACATCTATAACATATTTACCACAATGCCTGGCACCTAGAAAATTCGCAGGAAACACATCTATTAAATAATTACTTAAACCCATGTGTGATTATTTCGTACCCTCAATTTTTTTTTTGAAAGTCATCATTTCATTGCACCATGGCTTACTGGGTGACTTCTGAGCTCCTAACTGTGACTTATAATGTGGGCCTTCACAACTGACCCAAGCTACCTCCCAACTCTTGCTAGTTTATATCCTGCTCTGTAAAACCCAATGCAGACTTTTAAAATTTGTTGAAATGGGTAAACTCCTATTTATCACTGAATATCCAGTTCAAAACTGATCTCTTTGGAAAGGCTTCTCCATCCTTCCCTCCACTGAGTTTTGCTTTGCCTTATGTATCGTAGGGACCTCCACCGCAGAACCTTGTCAAACATTGTAATTATGTGTTTTTGTAACCCTCTTTCCCACTGGACAGAGAATACCTCTAGATCAGAGACTTTCTTAATCTCTTCCCCTTCCGTTTTCATTACTGATACAGGACTTAGCATGAGGTAAGGTTTTAGCATATGTTTGCAGAATAAATGAGTAGCCAGCCACCTATTATGAATTAGAAAATTGCAGAGTCATAGTTTTTAAAAAAATGTATGTGTAGGTACCAATTGTTTTAAACTAGTCTGGAGCATTTTGAGAGAAGAAAAAACTGTAATACTATGGGGTTTTTTTCTTTTTTGCCAGAAAGGAATTTTGAAATAATCTGAAAATATCTGACCTCTTCATCATTCAAAGGCAGCAAGCTGAAGTGGCAATTGCTAAATATTTGCCAAATTTATCCCAAAATGTTCTCAGTGGGTCTCTTTGATGTGACGTTCTTGGTTATCTGTGGAATAATTCGATGATTTAACAACATTTTAACTGATATTAATTGAGCACATACTATTGCCAGGTACTATAAAAGAGTCTAAATGACATTTAAATGTCTAGAAGACAATTGGGGTAAAATCAGGATGGGTAAAATAGAGTCCTTGCCCTCAAGAAACTCATGGTCCAACGGGGGAGATACAGATGTCATAGAAATCGAGATGCTTTTGATTGCAGTCATATGCATTAGGATGCTTTGATTGCAGTCATATGTATTAGGATGCTTTGATTGCAAACAGTAGAAACCACTTTGATCTGGACTAAGTTAAAGAGAGCAAATTTATTAAAAGAAGAAATGATTGCCTTACTAAGGCCAAAGGCAAAGATGTAACTGGAACTAGAGAAGAGACTAGACACAGGGCCTAGAAAGCCATCAAGGTTCTTTTCACCTTGGGCTCTGCTCCTCCCTCCCGGTCTGCATCCCTGCTCTTCGGGGACACAGGCACCTGTGCTCCACCTGTGACAGAAAGGTGATTCTATATCACAGTCAAGCCTCTTACAGGGCTTCTGAATCTCTCTATCCCTCCATTCTCTCATCTTCTACCTATCCATCTTTTAAAAGCTTTTTCACTCTTCTTTTCTCCCCCACTCTGTCTTGCTCCTAATTTTAAATTCTTAGGAAAAACTCTGCTTGGCCCAACATGTCAAGTGGCTCCCTTTGAGCCAATCAGTTGCAGACAGGATGGGTGACATTGTGAAAGGTGGATATGGGACTGTCACTCTGTGATCTGTGACTCTCTACGATGTTGTTTGTCATAGCAGGAAACTGGGAGGCCAACCCAACAGATGTCTCCCATATAACAAGGTGTAATGTGTGGTGCAGTAATGTAGTGTAAGTACA